TCTGTTTGTCTTTTTTGTCTTTCTCTTTCTCTCTTTCTCTTTTTCTCTCTTTCTCTATCTCTCTCTCTCTTTCCGTCTTTGCCTTTCTCTATCTTTCTTTGTCTTTCTCTCTATCTCTCTCTTTGTTTTTCCCTCCTTGCCTTTATCTCTCTTTCTCTCTTTGCCTTCCTTTCTGTCTTTCTCTGTCTGTCTCTCTCTCTGTGACTCCCTCTCTGTCTCTCCCGCTCTGTCTCCTTCTCTCTCTGTGTCTGTCTCCCTCTCCCTCCCTCCTTCTGTCTCTCTTTTTGTCTCCCTCTCCCTCTCTCTCCCCTCTGTGTATCTGTGTCTGTTTTTGTATGCGTACACGTCCATGTACCTCGTCCTCTCATCCTTCTCTCTATTCTGATTTGATTTCAATCATTGTGTATTATTTATCTCATCACTTTTCAAATTGTTCACATGTCTGTACACTGCCTGCAGAGTATACTACCTCTGCAGTATGTTCACAGTCTTGAATGAGCCGAAGAGATGACACCCCACAAGAATGACATAATTATGCATGGCTACATACATGTATACATTGAAGGATCTTCCTCCAAATTTTCAAAATCGCTTGCTAGGATGAACCAATAAATGAATCAATAACAGGGAAATCATTTATCACAGGATTACTCATTTCCTTTAAGATAATGTCTAAAGCAATGCCATTTCTGTGTCTCATAATTTACTTTAAAGGTAAAGACCAGTTATGGTCTTGCGATTGCATTGTGAAAGAAACGTTGTGGAATTGATCAGAACAGGTTGATCATCTAGCATATAAGTATTGGTGTGTACTGCAAGGTTCTGGAATCATCAAAATGATAAGAAATTTGGCCCAGTCTTCGTAAAGTTACAAGCACTGTACACAGAAAGATGTATACGGGACTATACGCACACATGCGCAACACATGCGTTTATCTCTCACAGACCATGTAGATAAACTAATTTACCAAATATATCAATTAGTAGGTGGTTTCCCGGCAAATTTTTTATCATCATGTATTTAGTCAAAACATATTCTTTCGCATGATTGGTAATAAGAGCTTCCATTTCATTTTTTGAAATTGGGGCGCAGGGAATAATTTCCAGCCAAAAATTTGCATAGCAAATCTGCTACACAAAATAATTTTTGCATAGCAGTTGGATGAACTTGTATAGCAATTTTTTTTCATGTTATAAATTACAGTGCAAAAACAATGACGTCACAACATCTGGTCATGAATGCATACTTACTACATTTTATGTTATGTACATTGATTCTGGTGTAACTGTGGACTCACCTTTAGTCATCAAGTGGATATGGCCGCTTGTTGCTACCTTGGTATAGGTAGGGTTGCACATTTGGTTTGCGAGGTGTACAGAAGAAATTCTTAACAGCACATTGTGGATTAAAATCAGTGGAAGATGGTCCCTCGATGCTGATCCTCATGAGATGATCTAGAGTGCTCGCATTTAGTCTACATCTCCAGTCTGTCTTAATTCGGCGCATTGTACTAAATCCCCTCTCCACCTTGGCATTACTGATGGGAAAGGTGAGTAAGACCCTGATGAGAAGACCAAGGTTGGGGTACTTGCTTGTTGAAACCTTGACAAATGCTCTCCAAACATCAGAGCTTTGCAAGTCCATCAGACTTGAATTCCAGTATGACTTGAAGGAGTTCCATTCCATCTGGATGGACTCTGGCTGGACTTCCTGGAGCAACCCCTTGAAATGCTCAAACACTGTGTTAAGCTCCTTGTGACCAAACTGGTCAAGAGAAGGCTTGTCCCTTGGCCAGGCATTAGTGTCCAACACCTTGAATGCTTGGAAAAGCTGTGAATTAAAGTCAGAGAATCTTGCATCGACACACTCTCTGATCTTCTTAACATATATCTTTCTAGAGTTCTGAAAAGCAGTGAAAACATCGCTTCTCACGTTGATCAGCCTGACATTCTTGTATTCCACTTCGGCCTTGCCATCTTGAAAGGTGATGTCATGGAGGAACTTTGACAGTTCTGAGGCATCCTCTATGTCCTCGTGCTCTGATTCAAGGTTTTGCATGGAAGTGTGGAATGACTCGAGACTTGCCATGGCAAACATAAGGTCCACTGACTCTCCCTGGAGATTGCAGGAAAGGGCTGCCAAAGGCTGCAACATAACATAGAATAGCAGACAGTGCATCACAAACTTGAAGCTAGTCAAGACCTGCAGGTATCCACGAAATCTAGCGCCATCTGCTGCTGACGATTCACTGGCCATAGATTCAAGATGTGCAATGATGACTGGGTATGACCGCAGAAGGGTGGCAAGTGCCCTGGACTTGTGCTGTAGCCATCTTGTCCCATGAGCCTTCTCTGGCTTAGTTACAACTTCCTCCATGACTTCTCCCAGAGTCCTTAACTCTCGCAGGCGTTTTGGGCTCTTCTGGTATACATAATACATGGACAGAAGCATTTCACTGATCTCATCCATGTACGTTTTCTCAAAGGCATTTTTTGCTGCCAGTTCCAATCTGTGATTCAGACAGTGCATTCCAATTAACCAGGGCATTTCATGATCTTTCCGTAGAAGAGCAATCAGACCTTTATTTACTCCCATGTTCACTGCAGCACCATCAGCACAAACGCAGACTAACTTTCCTTTCAGTGACATATCTGCATCAGCGAATATTTCATCCAGCCCATCTTTCAAGCCTTGTGCTGTAGCATGCTTAACATCAGTAATACAAAAGAAGTTTGACTGGACCTCACCAGTTTTATCATTCACAAAATGAACATACACAAGTTCTTGCTCCTTAACACTGGCATCTGTAGAACCATCAACCATGATGGAAAAATACTGGGCTTCCTTCAAAGCAGTGAGCATTTCACTCTTCATTGTATCACCGATGACACCAATAAACTCACTGCACTTTGCTTCATGTGTGTATGTGTTGCCTAATGGAACTCCATGTTTCTTCTCCAACTCGACGAACACAGGGTACTTGGTAAAAGGCAGTTCTTCTTTTGCGATAGCATATGCAATGTCAAAGAGTTTACTTACTCGTTTCTCTTCCTCACTTGATGCTCCAGCTAACGCTTTCCCTATAGGCGTTGTCTTGAAGATTGCATCGAGCGTCAGTTTAGGCCTTGAAGAAAGAGCAATTGCTTTCTTATGCATTTCACTGCGAGAATGTTTCACAACATTGTCCTTTTTCAGGGCCGACCCCGTAACTCCATTGATAAATGCCTGGTTGAAATTACGTAGCGATCTCAGTTTCGCTTGATGTGCTACACACATCTTGCACCTAATGCAGTTTAATCTCCCAGCACTTTCTTCGTACTCGATCCATTCCCTTTTCTGGTCTAAATCCTTAATCCAACCTTCCACAGTAACTACACGAATTGACACCATGTTTTGAAAATGACAAAAATATCGGTCCAACAATAAATCCAGAGACGAGTCGAGTCTTAAATCCAAATAAATCCAGTAACTTTGAATCGTATCGAGGGTAAACAACAACACGTAGTATTAGCTCGCACATGAGCGCGATTGAGCCTGCCCTGGATATATAATTAGTTCACCACGTGCGTGCATTGTTGTCTGCATCGCAACAACACTCACGGCTAAAAGGTGACCGTAGACACTCATCGCCGATAGTGCGCTATGTAGGTGTGTGTAGCTTCACGTTTAGAAAGTGACTGTAGTACGCTAATATCGTTCAGTGCAGGCTGCGCTGGCCTAGCCTGCTGTACACGCAATGTGTGGATTGGCGGTCTGTGTGTGAGTACAGTACATAGCTCGTGCATTGTTGATGCATGCACTGCATGTATGTACATGTAGTTTGTGGATTGGCGGTCTGTGTATATGAATGTACGTTTCGCTTGCATCGCAGCAATTGCGATTCATGAAAAAAGATGCGTCGCAAATGGCTGAAAATACATCGCGAATTGCGATGCGATACCGGGAAAATTATTCCCTGGGGGCGTTTCCAATACTTGTCTTTACCTTTAAAGCTTATGGTTTCATTGTAATTAAATATGATTAACATGGAACCATCTTTAAAACACTTCCTTGTATTATATCTCGTAAATTCTAAAGCTGCCGTTCAAGCTGGGGTTTTTTCCCGCTGAGTGGCATAGAATAGCCTAGTATATAAACAATGTTCAAAGTGGCCATTGACATAGGAAATGCAAGTGTGATATACACGTAATGTACATGTACATGTAGCTTCTAAGGCTGCCAGATGGTCAGGCAGAAGTGCATGCAATAACCAGTAAGATGTTCACATGAATAGCCACATGTACATGTGGTTATACATGTAGATAGCTAACTCATGTGTACCTTAGTACCATTAATGCTTTAATTAACCACATTTTATGCGTACATCTTTATGAAGTGCCTTGAGGCAAATTATTTCATTCCTTTGTTATGAATAATTTGATTTCAATAGTCAGATTACATATTGCATACATTAGTTGTTGCTAGGTAGGACAAACACAAAATGGCCTAACAACATATTTATTTTGCATACTAACTATTGAAATACAATCATTTGTATCAACTCACTTCACAAAGAGGTATGCATTACATTTGGTTACATTATGAAAATGGCCTATTGTAGTTGAATGGTTGAAATGCAGTCAAACCAGCTTTAGTGACCACCTGTCTACAACAAGCACATTTTTTGTTTCCCTTGAAAATGGTTTTTCATTGAAACATACACGTACTAAAGGAACCTGTCTACAAAGACCACCTGTCTACAAAGATCACCTGTCTACAAAGATCACCTGCAGTGTCTACAAGACCACTTTTTGTGTTTCCCTTGGGCAGTCGCTGTAGACAGGTTTGACTGCATTAGACTGGAGATACAAAGATCAAGGGTCAGAGTGGAGAATGTGATCATAGAGTGTATTGTGTGCAGGTAAGCCTGAATATGATGACCGGGGTAGTAATCTGTAAAGCGCTTCAAAAACATAGTATATTATGTATTTATATTGTATGTCCTTTCTTTCTGATACAGGGCATGCCAGAGAAATGGGCCCAGCTCCTGTCATCATCGTCGATCTCAAAGACAGAACAGAAGAACAACCCTCAGGCTGTCCTCGACGCCCTCAAGTTCTACGATGACTCCACGGCGGGCAACGAAAAATTCATGACACAACATAAAGTTATACTTGGTAAGTCTCTTCTCTTCTTACTGCCCATTAAGCCTCCTGGCACATAGAGGGCAGCAACAAAAGTCTTCCACTCCTTCCGATCCTGGGCCAGTCTTTGGATGGTTCCCCATGTGTGGTTCAGGTCCCTAATTTCCCCTTCCACAGTTCTTCGCCAAGTGTTTTTAGGACGTCCCCTCTTTCTTTTGCCTTTTGGTGTCCAGTGGAGGGCTGTTCGTGTGACGTCATCTATGTTCTTTCTCATTACATGTCCAATCCATATCCACCTTCTTCTCATGATGATGTTCTCCATGCTGTCTTGATGGCATGTTTGCTGTAAATGGCTCTTTGACTGCATCAGGTTCTATCAAACGTGCTGATAGAAAGATAGAAATGGATCATTCAATATTTTATAATTTTTTGAAATTCTCCAGCTAATACACTGTAGTGTAGAGATGGGAATACTGTCAAACCTGCTTTAGCGACCACCTGTATAGAAAGTCCACTTGTCTACAGAAACCATATTTTTGGTTTCCCTTGGAAATGGTTTCTCATTGAAACATGTACTATAAAAGGAACCTGTACTTAAAGACAACCTGCCTATGAAAAACAATTTTTTTTGGTCTCCCTTGGGTGGTTTTTATAAACAGGTTTCATTGTACTAGCAAATCTCCCTGAAGAAAGTATACTGTAGTTCAAATATCATGACCCCACTTCATTTGTGCTTTTCTCTTGCATAACGTTTGTTTTCTATACAAGGTAGAAAATATCAAATTAAGATTGTTAACGAGGTTTGGTTACCACCAAAAGTATATGGGTAGTAACGTTCTTTCAAACTTAAATTTTCAGCATGAAATGAGATCCTGCAAAATTCCATCATGTCGTTTTTTGGCCTCAAACCTGTTTACTGACAAAGTATACATGTAACTTATTGCCATGATTTTATGTATTTTATGTCCCTTTCTCTTTCTTTTCTTTGTTTCACAGGAAATAAACAATCCTTTGAAGATTCATTTGAGCAACAAGCCTCAATAACACCGGTGAGTATCTCAAATTTATCTTCATAAATAACAAGATTTCAATTGAAATAGGCTTTCCATCAACCACTCACATCATCTACATGTATACCCACAACAAAATAGGACTATTCACTAAAATATTTTTCACTTTGTATGTTTCGGTTGCTACGCTGGTATTCCACGCTGTATATATATTTCAAATACGCTGATAGTAGTAATACGAGAATAATTGCTCTGGATATGTATCTATATTTTAAATATCAGTAGAATAACTCTACTCTCTTTTGGCATAATGCCTTAAGGTTCATGTAGTTCCATGTAGTCATATCTATGTGCATTGCTTCCAAGGTAAGTTTTCCAAAGTTTGGGTAGATTTATTATGATAGTGGCAATTCAGATTTCCAAGACATCTTAGCACATACTTACTCTTGTTCTTTTTATAAATGTTCAAACTTCAGAAATTGGTTTGTGAGAGTTACAACTGATATACAAAATAACCTCTTTAAAGGGATTCAGTAACTTTGTCTCAGATTCTGAAACAAACCCCTGCATTTAGCGCAAGCTGCAATCATAATTATAAACCTTTAGGTCAGTGAGGTACCCCATGACTTTTACACGCCTGTCTGATTATCAAGATATTTATGATTGGAAATCGAAATCAAATTTTGCGTTTTCCTAACGGTTTTTATAACACTACGGTCTATTGGGGAAAAAGGAGTATGGTAAAACCGGTCACTCAAAGGTTTTTTCTTTTTTTAGGCTCTTCTTGATCATTTTGAAGTGCATTCAATATTACACCATATCACAGATACTGATAACAGGATGTAGGGCCGTGCATTTCAGATTTAACATTGTTAAACGATGCCTTTCAATTAAATCTGTTTTACTCTGATGTAGAAACCACCTTCAAGACCAGAGGACGATGTCTCTGAGGATGAAGACGCGGAAGCTCCAGCAATTGCTCCTCGTCCAGCTCACTCACAATCAAGAGTAAGTTTGCATTGCTTGCCAGCAGTGAAGTACTTAAATAACATTGGATGGCTTTGAGTGTGATACAAGAATACATTGCTCGAGCTATGACAATATTGGACGAGTCAAAGACGAGTCTAATATTGTCTAAGCGAGAGCAATATATTCTTTTATCACACGAAAACAAAGCCATACAATATTATAATTATTATCTATATTATTCTGACTAGCGAAATAACAAAATTTGAATTACCTCAGTAAATAGGGCTTTTTGTGTGTGTGATATCGATATCGATTTCAATAGTTGAGGTTCCTGGATTACTGAGCAATACGAGAACAATATTGGTCAGTCATCTAGGGTACTGCGTTATTTGAAAACACTGATTTATTGTACCACTTGGAAGTCTTATATAGATAATAATTCGTAGTACCCATTCACTGCCGCCGAAAAGTGTTATCTGCTGTAGGTTTTGTACCCCTGACCAGTGTAGTCGATGCCAGTAATGTAGTCGAGGCCAACATTAGCAAGGAACCAGGCTGCTGAAAAGTGTTGTCCGGCTTTCATAGGATTTGTACACGTTACTCAATCTAAGGTCAAGACAAAGGCCACTAAAACATCGCCTGAATGTCATACTCAACTGCAACAGTACTTGGCAGTGCAAAGCACCCTTGATGCTAATACCAAGCGCGATGGAGTTTGGGAAAAAATAATGCTAAGGATAAAATCTCCCTGACATAGGTACGGACATGGTGCATAACTCCTTGATGCTAAGAAATTGTACCAAACATGGGGGAATTCTTCTTTTTCAAAGTCCAGGGTAAATTCTCCCCGGTGTAATAATAATAATAATAATAATAATGGGTTCTTGTATAGCGCTCATGTCAGTCAGATTTGACCCTCCTGGCGCTCCCGATTATTACCCATGAAGTCCATGTCATACCGGAGTGTTGGCTCAGTCAGTAGAGCGTCCGCCTCACAACCGGGAGGTCGTGGGTTCGAACCCCGGCCGCATCATACCAAAAGACGTTAAAAGGTGGGAGTTGCTGCTACCTTGTTTAGCGCTGCTCAGCGGCTGCCGGGCTCACGATCAATTGGGCAAAAAGAATTTTCATTTCGGTTTAATAAAATTTGGAGTGGACTAAAAGATTATTATTATTATTATTATTATTATTATTATTATGTCAGCGAATTGTGACCTACTGCACATGGAAACTGATTATCATCTCCCTTCAAAACCTTTGATGATTCCTAGTCTAAATGACATCTGTGTTCCCATTCCTTGACTGAACCAACAAATTGGCAAATGGAGTTGATACCGTTTGTGCCACTCAGAGCTACAACCTTGATCATTTGATTTTATATTCTTGAAATTAAGTAGGTACATCTCAATCAATCAAAATCTTTCTATTAATCCCTCTGCCTTTTATCTCTTACTCCCTCAGTATTATTCAAGAATAGAGCAAACACCGCCCGAGCCCTCACCCCCTAGCCCCGCCCCTGCCCCAGCACACCCGTCCAACGCCACCAACGCTACCACACAAGCACAGCAGGAGCGTAGGGAGAAGATGAAGAAGAAGAAGATGTCAGATGACGAGATCCTGGAGAAGCTCAGTAAGTGATATCATTGAAGTGTGCTCATTAAGATTCGTTCAAATATGCTGCGGTAACCTGCAGCGCTTTTCTTTTATAAGGTGTAATACACTTCGCATTTTCGTATCTTATAAGAGTCTGGCGACCCTTTGGTGTATGCATTTTTTTTCTCCTTCTTCTATTGTTGCGGGTTTCCACTTCTTATCTGAACAAGCATTTAGGGGGACGGAGCACAGGTTGTCCTGTCGGCGCGGTGTTCCAACATTTGCTGCAGCGACAATTGCTCCGGGCGTTATTTTGTGAAAGATATTGGGTTAGGGTTAAGATTGAGGTAGGAAAGAACCAAAATAAGATAATCATGATAAAGAAATGAAATGAAACACAGACAGAAGACTGTTACATGTATGCAGTGAGGTGAACTACAAAGAAGAAAAGATAGTTACTGAGGACTTGGGAAAGGATTACATTTGGGTTTTAGGTTAGGTTTAAGGTAAGACTTATGGTGAGGGTTAGATCAGGGTCGAAGTCACAAGCTCAGTGCAAGCATGGCATTGACCACAGTACAGATGTCAACCGAGTATGTGTGGTACAAACATAATAATAATAATAATAATATGTCTTGTTTATTATTATTATTTTATTCGGCAAATCAAGTCACATAATACAACAATATAACAAACATGAATTGAGATTAAAAAATCAATAGAAAGCATATATCGATATTGCAATAGCAGGTGCATCCGGTCGAGCTGCCCGGGTATGGAAAAAGTTAACCAAATAACTGTGATCCGCAGACCTTCCTCCCCACACCCGACTGGATGCACCTGATATTGGTTAAAATAAAGCTTTAAAAAGAAAATATAGACGAGGAGAAGACAAATGGAGAAAGAAGGGAGAAAAAAGAAAGAAAAAGAAAAAGAAAAAATATAAGAAAGAGAGAGAAAAAAAAAAAAGTTGTGATTTCATGACAGGTATAGTAACATATTGTTACTGTTAATCATTAACACCATCATCACGTTGTAAAAAATAAATATAATATCATTATCATTATCATTATTAACATTATTACTACTATCGTTACTATCATGATTATTATGATTATTATAATTTATATCATTGACATCAATATTTATATTAAAAACTTAAAGCCTCATCAGTATTCATACTGTTCTCCCTGAGGGCCCTGCAATCATATTATTACCCCGGTCATCGGATTCAGGCTTACCCGCACACAATGTATGCACATTTTCCACTCCCTGGGGAGCATTCCAGCCAGTGCATCATTTTTACAAGAGCACACTTGCTAATCTAAGCACATTAGCTTTCGCATCCTACCGGGTACCCGTTTAACACCTGGGTGGAGAGTGGCAAATGTAGATCAATGTCTTGCCAAAGGACATTAGTGCCGCGATGGGACTTGAACCGCGGACCTTGTGATCCACAGTCCGGTGACATTTCCACATATCCACGACACCTCTACATGACAAAGAACTTTCAGCGATTTTCGAAAAGTGTGTTCTGGTTGTCTTTTATGATTGTCCATTTGTATTTTCTCCTACTAGGATCTATCGTCAGTGTTGGAGATCCCAAGAGGAAATACTCCAAGTTTGAGAAGATTGGCCAGGGAGCTTCAGGTGTTGTCTACACGGCCATTGAGGTCGCAACAGGGCAAGAGGTCAGTGTTTGTTACAACTCCTTTGTTTTTAATATTATTATTATTATTTATTTTACCAATCATAAAAAGCACAAATACCAAACAATGGCAAGAGACAAATACATAATAAGAATATGGAAGAATAAATGGAGTGGGAGCAGCGAGTGGGTCAGGGTCAACAAAAGTGCAATGCAATGTAAAACCCTTAAAGGGATTGGGTAACTTTGTCTCAGATTCTAAACAAAATCCTGGATTTAGCTCATGCTGCAATCATAATTATAAACCTTTAGGTCAGTCAGGAATCCCATGACTTTTACAAGCTGATCGCCTGTCTGATTATCAAGGTATTTATGATTTGAATTTGGAATTTCAAAAACGGTTTTCCCAACGGTTTTTATAACACTAGTCTATTGGGGAAAATGAGTACCGGTATGGTAAAACTGGTCAATCAAAGTTTTTTGCTTTTTTTTGGAGGCACTTCATGATCATTTTGAAGCGCAATTTTTTTTAGGGCTTCAATATTACACCATATCACAGACATTGATAACACAACACATAGGGCCATGCATCTCAGATTTAACATTGTTAACGATGCCTTTAACAACAAAGACTAATTACTCTTATTGTTCTTCTTTTCCCATTCTCTATGCAGGTTGCTATCAAGCAGATGAACCTCCAGCAGCAGCCTAAGAAGGAGCTCATCATCAACGAGATCCTGGTCATGCGTGAGAACAAACATCAAAACATCGTCAACTACCTGGACAGTTATCTGGTCTCAGATGAACTATGGGTGAGCCTTCCATCTTATCTGTCTCAATTTAGAACTACTCTGATCTGGTTTAATCTGGTTAAATCTGGTATTGTGAGCCTTCCATCTTATCTGTCTCAATTTAGAACTACTCCGATCTGGTTTAATCTGGTTAAATCTGGTATTGTGAGCCTTCCATCTTATCTGTCTCAATTTAGAACTACTCCGATCTGGTTTAATCTGATAAATTTGGTATTATGAGCCTTCCATCTTATCTGTCTAAATTTAGAACTACTCGGATCTGGTTTGATCTGGTAGAATCTGGTTTGTACATGTATTACGGTAATACAAATTTTACAATGGTATTATCTCCCCAGACAACTAACTGGTCATAAATGAATTGTTGTGAGTTGTGCCCCTTTCCAACTTCTGTGTAGACTTGGGGAAGAACAATATCATGCTTAACTTTGGTTTAATTGGATAGAATCTGATAGAATTCAGTTTGTAGTAGGAGTAATTTAAAGTAATAAGAATTCTTTACAATGCTGCCAACCCGATACTTTGTTGGAGATGAACTATGGATAAGCATTTCATCATCTCTGTAGAGACTTAGGGACCACCGATACTGTTGTTGACTACATAGACAGCTACCCGCTCCTTTGGAGCGTTCTTTCTGTATAGACTTGGAAGAACCAGCCTGATCCTGTGTAATCTGGTTTAAACCAGTAGAACCTCTTCAGTAGTGAGACTAGATTAGGGTACCAAGAATTATTTCCAATATTGTAAGCTGTAGTCACAGAAAGACTTTGACAAAGTTGTACACCATTCTGTTTTTTTCTTTTTGGGGGCGATGCGAGGAAGAACCAACCTGATCCGGTTTAATTCAGTAGTGTTTAGTCTGTTGTTAGAATGAATTAGGACTTTAATCTTAATGATAAATCTTATTGATGATCTTAATGTTGTCAATTACTTGGCTAGTTTCTAATTTCCTTAAAATGTTCACTGGCCAATTATTCTGAACATTTTGCTTCATCTCAACCCAGAGGTTGGCTTGTCCTTGAAGTTTTAGGCGTAACTGCAGAATACCCCGCCATGCATCATTACAATGTATCGGGGTTGGGATTAGGGTTAGAATTTGAACATGGACCAGGGACCCGTTTCATAAAACTATAACAACGGCTAAATTTCTATAACAAATGTGCTCTCAGCCAATCAGATGCCATGATTTAAGTAGCTTGTAATTTGTTATTGATAACATGGTTGATGAAACATGGCCCAGGGTTAGGTTAAGGGTCAAGGTCAGCATTAGGGTTAGGGTTAGGGTCAGGGATAGACCTCAATGTCATGCTAAGGGACAAGGTTACTCGTGTACTAGGGTAATAAGAAATGTTTCTTTTGTTTATCTACCCCAGGTTGTGATGGAGTTCTTAGCTGGAGGCTCACTCACAGATGTTGTAACAGAAACGTGTATGGACGAAGGACAAATCGCTAGTGTGTGCAGAGAGGTGAGTACATCTACCAAGGACAAATTTGGCGGATTTATGTTTGTTTATCTGTTTGTTGTTGTCTTGTTGTTGTTGTTGTTGGGAGGTTTTATCGGAGGGGGAGAGGGGCTGTTTGCAAGTTGATATGTATCAAAGCAAGTGGTCTAGTGGGTACGTCATGGGTCTGTGGATGTCATGGATCGAGTCCCGTCGCGGCACTAATTTCTTTTGGCAAGACATTAATCTACATTTGCCTCTCTCCACCCAGGTGAAATATATGTTTTTTATAAATGGACATATTATTATTAATTATTGTTTTCTTGTTTACACCACACTCATGTTGCTTCTCAAATTGTGAATGACATGGATATTTTGTGACCTTGTTTATTTTCATAGGTAATTATCCATTAAGTCCATGCAATTTACACCTTGTTCAATATTCTTATCATAAGACTGAATAAATGTTCTTCTTGAGTACTAATTACTCTTTTTTATTCTTCTTTTATTGTAATGTGCATTTTGATGGATCTGTATAGAATTTGGGCAATGTAAATTTACGAAAATTAATTATTAACGACTTCATCATTATTATTTGTTGTAGATATTGTTATTACGTTTGGTGTGGTTACTAAGGGGGAAGCCTGTAAGGCACATACTCTAGGGTGTATCATCATGCTAGTCCGTAGCACCAGACCTTCAAGTTATTTCTTAATCAAATTAAAAACTATGTTTTGCACACTGTCCTACTTGTAGCTACTTGCTCCCTCTATATAGAAAACTTCCCCAATCGGTGCCTGCTGGTCCCCCATGATCCTCTTTTTCTTATGTTAAATGAGAGCTGAGTTAATGAGATAGCCACCTGTCACAGTGACCTCGCTGGCCCGCTGGGTGGTCTAATCCCTTCTAGCTGAAGTAGTAAAGCCTACCTTTAAAGGGAAAAAAATTCCTGACTTGCGGTATCATTGTGTCTTTAGACATATGGGCTGATGTCTCTCGCCCATATTATATATCAACTTTTTAATGTCTCAATTTTGACATTTTGACTGTTTAATAACATCCATTGTAATCAATATTTCTTTTTAGTGCTTGCAAGCATTGCAATTCTTGCATCAAAGACACGTCATTCATCGAGACATCAAGAGTGATAATATTCTACTGGGAATGGATGGAAACGTCAAACTGAGTGAGTTTTTTTATCTTCTGTTATTCTTTTAACACCTATGTGGAGACTTTGTCATAAAACTAAGGCATTTTAGGAAATTGAAGTTCATTTAAGAAGGGTGGAAGTGACAAGAGGCTGAGCATTCAAATCCTTGTTCGTTGAAATTTCTGCCCTTTTTTCTTCCTTCATATGGTATATTTGTTATGGCTCTGAGTCACAAGATTTTGAGCCATATCGCAAAATGTGGGCTGTAAGCCAGTTCATAGTTGCAGTCTGAGCATGAGGAGATAAAGGTCATTGCAGACCAAATTGTGAAATACACAGAGACAAAATACTGGATACGTGCTCATGACAGTTATGTAATCATAATTCATTTATGCACAAGCAGTGCACTCCATGATACACAGGTGGCAGTATTGTTTGAAAAATGGAAACAAAGGCTATGTAGCACCTCCATTGCTGTAGGAGTGATTATTTCAAAATGTACAAAGTGGATCCTCTTCATGTTTTGAAGATCTGTGGATATTCAGGGTTATTTGGGACATGTGCTAACCGTGACCTGGTCTATTGCTGTAGAAGGCCACAAACATGATTTCTTTTTAGGCAATACAACCGAATATTGAAATGGCCTTTACATACAATTAAAAAAAAACATCCCTGCTGTCGTGTATGTACTACATGTATTTAAATATAATTTATTCCATGTGCATTTGAAATGATCATCTTTTTTCCTTCGCAGCCGACTTTGGTTTCTGCGCCCAGATCACGCCGGAGCAGAGCAAGAGAACGACCATGGTCGGCACACCTTATTGGATGGCTCCGGAGGTCGTGACCCGGAAGCAGTATGGACCTAAGGTTGATATCTGGTCACTGGGTATCATGGCGATCGAGATGATTGAGGGTGAACCCCCATACCTGAATGAAAATCCCCTTAGGGTAAGAATTCATAGTTTAATGGTTTATCGTTATATGTGATGACACACTGTGTACCAATTAAACTTGGGCCTCTCACATAAAACTTTTAATTGATGGTAACTTTGCCATCAATGTTAAATACCATGGTAACATCACTCAACAGCCACTCAAATCAAGGTTTCCATGGAGTTCATCATTAATGGCAAAGTTAACATCGATGCTAAGTTTTATTTATGTAACAGGGCCCAGATAGCGAAAGAACTAATTGTGCGAGGCAATTTTCACATCCATCAGATCTAGATATTTGAAATGAAAACTATTCAGAAGTGCCTTGACCCGATTATCACACAATTTTTACCCCTTCTTTTTATCCTCTACTCATTGCCCCCAATGGTAAACATGCCTTTCACAACACTTAAAATTGATCACCAGTCTTGGAACTTTCATTATTGATATGAATAATGCATTGCATACAACACTGTTTGCGAATGTTCGTTCACCCATTACCATTCTCTCACCTTTTCTCAAGTACTTCTACTTAATTGTCCCAGTGGGCAATCAAACTTTCACAGCCTTGAAAATTGATTACCAGTCTTTTAACATTCAGTATTCATGTAAATGATGAACTGCAAATCCCACACTGACACCTAAAGTACATCATGCATGTTAACAGAATGTTCCGTAGCCATTATAAGCGAGATACATGTAGCTGTGACACTCGTAGGTGTGCACATTCATAGGTCAGTTCATGGAGCTCCAAATAGTTCCTTCCAACATACAATTTCCATAGGAGGGAACTATTTGATCGTCCATGAATTTGAAAATCGCAAGAACGAGTATGTGTGTGTGCATGTCTTAACTATGTCTCCTCTCCTAGCTATGGAAGGTCCTTTTCATACATTATTCTGTCACTCCTTTCTAGACCCTCTAATTTATTGGCACTGACTCTACTTGAAATAATTATGATCCTGATAATTTATTATTGAATATTACTGTGAACGATGACCTGGCAATATGCATAGCAGTTAATTTCTTACTGGAGACAAGATATTTTGACCACTCCCCCCCCCCCCCCCAACACCCCCTCATATGGAATCTGCAACGTCTGCACGATCCTGTCATACTTTACATAATCATAAATGATGGTTTGTTTTACATGATTGCTATTTGAACAACATGTATGTTGTAAGTAACCTACTACTGGACCAACGGCTTTAAGTCCTCTCCGAGGGACTTGGTCATGAGGATTAATGCCTTACCAAAGGGCACTAGCTCATTAAATTCATTTTGACCCTGGAACCTCCGGGTTAATAGACCACTGCTCTTGCTCGGAGCCATTGCATCCCCTCAACACATAAAATGTTGTTTTCCTCTCTTCTCACCATTCTTTGATCCCTTCTCTATTATAGTTCATCTTCCAACATTAATTGCCACCAATGATACTCCCGATATTCACAACCCAAAGAAGTTATTACTAGTCTCTACATTTCAAATGGTTATGAATATCTAACCCCCTTACTCCTGACATTCTTATAGTCTTTAAAGGGAAAGACCAGTATTGGAAATGCCCCAATTTCAAAAAATGAAATGGATGCTCTTATTACCAATCATGTGAAAGAATATGTTTTGACTATTACATGATGATAAAAAATTTGCCGGGAAACCGGCTACTAATTGATATATTAGGTAAATTAGTTTATCTATAGGACTGTGAGAGTTAAACGCACGTGTCGTGCACGTAGTCCCATATACATCTTTCTGTGTACAGTGCTTGTAACTTTACGAAGACTGGGCCAAATTTCTTATCATTTTGATGATTCCAGAACCTTGCAGTACACACCAATACTTATATGCTAGATGATCAACCTTTTCTGATCGATTCCACAACGTTTCTTTCACAATGCAATCGCATGACTATAACTGGTCTTTATCTTTAAATTTAAAATGAATATATGTATAACATGTGTAATACATGAAATGTCATTTACCTCTCTTCTCTCACCATTCTTTGATCCCTTCTCCAGGCCCTCTACTTAATCGCCACCAATGGTACTCCTGACATTCACAACCCAGATAGATTATCACCAGTCTTCCGAAATTTCCTTGCCAAGTGCCTTGAGACTGATGTCGACAAAAGAGCAGATGGAGAGATGTTACTAAAGGTCAGTGAACTCTTGCATGAAAGTTTTTTTTCTTCTTCAATTCAAATGAACATTTATTTTCTTCCCTTCAATTTGACAACATATTTGACATATTTGACATCTGTTCAAACGATACAATTTATACGTAGGAACATAAATATAATTTAAGAACTTGTATTACAAGGAAGAAGGTGCAAATCCCTGTAAGCATAGCTTGTAACGGGTACGCTCGATTGCTTGATTTTGAAATAAGAGATAGGATGGACCTGATTGCATATCACTTTACATTGATAGGACTAACCTTAATTAGCATCATGCTATATCTGTGGTTGTATCTATGGCATGAACTTTTATTTTAAAGAATAAAAGCAAATCGAGACAAATGTATGTTTATCATGTACAATTGATGGTATATCCTCGTGTAAGTCCCATGTATTGACTTCTATGTTTTTCTCCAATTATCCACACAGCATCCATTCTTGAGTACAGCCAAGCCCCTCAATTCACTCAAGCCCCTCATCGCTGCTGCCAGGGAGGCCCCCAAACATTAATCACAGCTCACCGTCATAACCATGGCAACGTAGACCTTCACTTCTTCTTCTCGACTTCAGGAGGGAGGGAAAAAATAGAGCTGGGGAATGCAAGACCGGAACAAGCAATCAGAATATTTGTCTATGGCCCGACTGAATACATCTGTTTAGTTACTTTATTTTTAATTATGATGATTATTTTCATCATTATTATTGTATATTATGTAATGATACGATGTACAAGTCATGTTATAAGGATGTGGTAATTGTTTTATATAATTTTTTTAATCTACCTAGTGGAAAATATGACTAAACTTGTATTGTTGTTTAGATTTTGGCAACAAAATACTGTTTATGATGTTTGCTGGTCATTTAATTTCCATCAAATTTTGTTTTACTGAAAGCAATCAGGATAGCAGTATTCTAACCTTCTATTTTTTTTTTTTTTTTTTTTTTTTTTTTTTGGGGGGGGGGGGTCCCAAATGGAGCATCTAAAATGTCAGAATCTAGGTTCTGCCATTATGCTCCCCCTCTATGTTGTTGTCATATAGTGCCCTCACTTTACAATGGAGTTTGTGTTTTGAATAGCTTTGTTCAAATCCAGCTTTTGCCACCATTTCGTAAAAAAAGATTTATGGGAGAGCCAGTAGGGCGTTATTTCATACCTAATATGCACGGTGTGACCTTAGTAACACCAATCTGGCTGTTAACATACGATATGATTTGATGTAATGTCCATTTGGTCCAGTTTGTTGTCCAATGAATCCCATTGTGCCTTATGTATCTAAAGTAGCTTTGCAACCTCCAGAGTGCTACTAGTCTTGGGGCAACCGAACTGTGCTCGTTGGGCAGGTGAATTCACTGTATGCTATGCGGAAGGATCTGGAATGTGGGTTTGTCCAATTTCTCAACGTTTTAGTTTTGATTGCTGAAGTGATAACCTATCATGGAGAATAAGTTGTACAGACTGAAGTGTATTGTGTGGATGTAGACGATCAGGGACCCGTTTCACAAAGCCTTTTTTCAATGACAGATGACAAAAATCAGTGACAAATCTGCTGATAACCAATGAGAAGCAAGGATTTCAGTAGCTTATACTAGACTGTCATTTGTCACTGATGACAAGTTTTGTGAAATTGGGCCCTGAAGTTTGAATGCATGTTTTTTGTTCTCTCTACATCCCTTGTACGCTCCTTTGCTCATAGTCTTCTGCTGGGGACAACGAATTTAGAGTGAGCTTGCTCTCAAGAGAGAATTCATTCTGAATAACGAGTTCTTTATCGAAACCCAGGCTAGTGGAATTGGGGTTAGGGCAAGTGCTTTCAAGAACCATGTTGCCCCTTGGACGAGCAGTACCCTGTCCTACTATTGCTGTTGTATATGTTAGCTTCCTGCTTTTATTTTCCCCTCCCTTCTTAATCGTATGCATTTTTCGCTTTCAGTAAACGTAGCATCTTGCTTTGTAGTCAAGTGTCACTTTCTTTTTGTTTGGAAATGCAATTTTGAAAAATGGCATACATGTAACTGCATGGCTAGTGCTACTTAAAGTAATGATATGTACTTGGTAATTATTAAAAACGAACTAAATTCTTTTTTTTTTAATTTGAGGTATGGTCATGTACTCATGTTTAAGCTCATCTATTCCAACTTTTTGTTTTAAATTTAGGAGAGGTTCAGTGATCCACTGTAAAGTAATCCAAGTAGAGAGCCAAGCAGTGATTTTCCAACTCCAAAAGTCACTCCCCCCTTCCAAGATTAGGTTAGCTTTGTAACTCTTAAATCTTCAGCTTTAGTGATGCTTTAAAAAGTCAATAAATGCCCACAGTAGCCAAACACAGTAATATATCAAGGAACAATATTAAAGTAGTTGATGTAGGTGCTATGATTTCATATTCTTTTCTATGCTGCACTTGACACTCCTCTTGGTCCCAGTATTACCCTTGATTTAAAGCCATCATAGAATTTCTGTTATCATTCAGGTAGCTTACCGTTTTAAACGTTTTTGGTGAATGCAACTGATTCTAATAGAAATATGGAATAATTCCTTTCAGTATCGATTGTGATTAAAAGAATCTCTGGTATGCGCATATGTACTTACTTGCATTGCAGATGTAATCTGATTTGCCTTTATTTTGGTTAAGATGATATTTTTATCATTTTCCCCTAAATTTTGATGTAATGTTAAAGATGTCATACCTATCAGGAGAAAAAAAGATTCACCGGTAAATATGCAAGGGTCTGTAATGTTAATCACAACTGGTCGCTACTTTACATTACACACATTTGTGACAACATGTTGGTATTGTACAGCAAGATTTAATAACAGAGCATTTTATCTGTTAAAAACTTGAAGGGTTTTAACTAGTTGTGAAAGGATGTGTTAAAGTCCAGACTCTTAGGAGACAACGTGTTCAAAGCGATCTAGATATTTGCCGAACTGCAATCATGCATCGCAAATTTATGTGATTAATTTTACCATGCATTTCAACACGGACACCCTTGTAAAGCAGACTTTGAATCTTTAAGTTATAATTAGTTACAGTTGATTATAGCCAACCTTCAATATGTGCTAGCACTTAGGTCATTTTCAGGACAAAATTGACGCCATATTTAGACAGAATTCTGAAATCCCGAATTGGCCAATGTCAATTTTCATACATGTATCTACATTTTTTATAAGTTTTGACGAGAAGATATTATGCCTTCTTGGCAATTCTCTTTTTTTGGGGTCTTGTTCGTGTGTCTATTCCTTTTTTAATAATTTTTTTCAATTTTATAGAATGCTTTCTGTTCCTTTTTTTTGTTATATGTCTAAATGAATGAATGAATTCTATGTGTGTACATTTTTCAGCATGATGATTTAGTTAAATCAAGATGAAATTTATATTGTAAAAAGAGAAATTAGTGTAATGTTTGGTTTCGGGAGGTGAACTTCTATTGTGAATTGCCTAACCACATATAATATGGTAAATGCTAACGAACACAAAACATTATTTATGTACATTTTATAATTATACATAACTTTTTTTAAATGCGAAACATGAAATGTAGGTAGGATTATGTAGAGAGAGAACGCAAGATAGATAAACATTTCTTTACATGAACATGTTAACATGTAAAGGAGTGTGCAGATTTTGTAATGGACTCTATACATACATTAGAAGGTTGCAAATAATCATGAATAGATGGGATACGTTGAAACATTAATGTATTAAAGTATTTTTTCATATTGGGTATATTATATGAATGTGTATTATATATATTATGGCATATGGAATATATGGTGTGTAATGGAGCGATAGAAAAAAAACTTTGTGTACTCGTGAGCAACGAAAAAAGCACAGAGGACAAACTGATGCTAGCATTGCTACAAAATTCTTCATGCATCGAATCTTTGTTATGTATTCATGGGCTACATGCGTAAACTGCATTTGGACAAAAAGAACTGAATTTTGTCTCATTACTTTCCTCTCAAATATCATGGATAGCTTTACTTTGAGGAACTTCAAGATGTGTACATGCTCCATGTTTCAATGTATAAAAGATTCTGTTCATTGATGTATATTCTTTTTTGCGAATATAATTTGTTTTTTTATTTCTGGGGATGCAATGAATTTTCTGAATTACAATTTGGTCGACATCTTCGCTAAACTGTTCAGGATTACAGAATTGAAGTATGAATATGACATGATTTATGCAAATTAAATATAAAGTAAGACACATCTCGTTTTCACAGTTATTGAAATTTGGCAGGAAGAAATTTCTGAATTCGGCTTCGAGTCATTTTGGTTGTATGCCCTGGCAAAATTGCAAAGCTTGGCTGTTCAAAATGACTTCCATGATACTGAAAGGGATCGTCCTGCAATTTGGTTTAGCCACTACAATAGCTTCAACTCTTTTAGATCTGTAGCCTCTATTAGTCGGAGCAGAATTCTGATCCTTTTATAGGTTTGGATGCCCAAATCAAGTTAGACACCTAGTGAGGAAAACATAATTAATATGAACAAAAGGAATAAAGAAAAGAGGAAGAATGAATGTAATACAGGTATAGAGATTGTCATTCTTATCGAAATGAATTATTCAAATAAAACAGAGAAAAGGTCTTCCTCCAAAAAGGGGCAATCGAGGTCCTGCGTTTCTTAGTTTCTCTATTTTTAGTTGGGGCTTAGATTTTGCCTTCAGGTGAGCGTTGATGGTTCGGGTAATTGATCGTGACTGTATCAAAGTGCTGGTCAAGTTGATGGTGATGATGATGATTGCGATGATGATGATGATGATTGCGATGATGATGATGATGATGATGATGATGATGATGATGATTGCGATGATGATGTTGATGATGGTGATGATGATGATGATGTAGAGGATGATGATGATGATGATGATGATGATTGCGATGATGATGATGATGATGATTGCGATGATGATGATGATGATGATGATTGCGATGATGATGATGATGATGATGATTGCGATGATGATGATGATGATGGTGATGATGATTGAGATGATGATGATGATGATTGCGATGATGATGATGATGATTGCGATGATGATGATTGCGATGATGATGATGATGATGATGATGGTGATGATGATGCTGATGTTTCTGATGACGACGGGGATTATGATGATGGTGGGGAGGGTAACAATGCTTCCGCTGATGATGAAGATGATAGTGATGGTTGGGAATAATATTGCCTGTAACGATTTTATGGATGGGTCGAAAATATTGAAGATGAGAAAGTCAATAGTTACCTAGGATGGTGAAAATGATGAAGAGATAATGAGAACAAAATACCCTCCCCCCCCCCCCCCAATGCCTTTAATAGATATACATGTATATTTCCTTCTGGAATCTCGGCAGCCTCCACATGTCTCTGAATGGTAGGAGTGTCCAACAGCCCTTTTAACTCTAAAAAATGTAAATTTTTCGTATCTTGTCTTAATAGGGGGCTGCGCTGCTACGCACCCTCGTCATGTTTACAGAAATGTGTTTTTAGATGGTGCTTATTAAGGTTAAAGGATGATGATAGTGGTGGTGGTGATGATGATAATGGTATTGATGATGATGCTGCTGCTGCTGATGATGATGATGGTAATGATGATGATGATTATGGTAAGGAATGTTTCAGAATACTTGGTGATGATGATTATGATGATGATGATAATGGTATTGATGGTGATGCTGCTGATGATGATTATGATGATAATGGCATTGATGGTGGTGATGATGACGATTATGGTAAGGAATGTTTCAGAATACTTGGTGATGATGATAATGGTATTGATGGTGATGCTGCTGATGATGATTATGGTAATGATGATGATGATTATGGTAAGGAATGTTTCAGAATACTTGGTGATGATGATCATGGTATTGATGGTGATGCTGCTGATGATGATTATGGTAATGATGATAACGATTATGGTAAGGAATGTTTCAGAATACTTGGTGATGATGATTATGATGATGATGATGATAATGGTATTGATGGTGATGCTGCTGATGATGATTATGGTAAGGAATGTTTCAGAATACTTGATGATGATGATTATGATGATGATGATGATAATGGTATTGATGGTGATGCTGCTGATGATGATTATGGTAAGGAATGTTTCAGAATACTTGGTGATGATGATTATGATGATGATGATGATAATGGTATTGATGCTGATGCTGCTGATGATGATTATGGTAATGATGATGACGATTATGGTAAGGAAAGTTTCAGAATACTTGGTGATGATGATAATGGTATTGATGGTGATGATGATGACGATTATGGTAAGGAATGTTTCAGAGTACTTGGTGATGATGATTATGATGATGATGATGATAATGGTATTGATGGTGATGCTGCTGATGATGATGATTATGATGATGATGATGATAATGGTATTGATGGTGATGCTGCTGATGATGATGGTAATGTTGATAATGGTATTGATGATGATGCTGCTGATGATGATGATGATGGTAATGATAATGACGATTATGGTAAGGAATGTTTCAGAATACTTGGTGATGATGATTATGATTACATAATGATAATATGTTGCGATTAGATAGGGTTTACTGGGAGAAAATAGATGGAGGTGGTGCCAGTGATGTCTGCACCTGAATAACATTTGAAACTGTTTCATTTCAAAATATAGACAAATTCGCGATAATGGGGATAGCATTGCCTTCTTGCCCGTCAGATTTTTTAATCCTTGTGACCCATCCCCTTTACGTATTTTCTCCCACAAAGGTTATGGCAAACCTTCGAATTGAAATTTAAATTCACCCCACTCAACTTTTGATTATAAAACATGGATGACACTTCAGAAATCAGGTATGCTAAGGCAGTGAATAGAAGATTAAAGACTTCTTTATTCAAATTATATTTTCACACAAATATCATCATGGAACGAACAATATTCATACAAACATACGGAATATAATGTAATATAATTTACGAGGCCTGATAAAATTGAGTTAAAGATACATATTCTATAGCGACAAATAAATAGGAATTTGACCTTTTTTTTAAATACTGAGACCCTCAATAAGCCGTCATTATTTGTTGTCATGTACCGCATTGACAGTGTAAATCCTCAAAAAGAAATACTGGAACAGAACTATACCTGACAAAACCTATTTATTTGTAAATAATCTAGGGAAATTTACCCGTTTTAAGCCCACCGCACATTATACGATCTGACTACGATCCGATTTTGTAAAATTTGCAATAGCATTTGATACAAACATTTAATTAAACATGTAAAGTTTATCTAACAACGATTTGTGCGTATTCCCCACGGCTAGACGACCATTATTCAGGTACGGCAATATTACAGATGGGTATAACATAAACAAGGACGAAATTGGGAGACAAGTTTCTATTATATCTATTTATTACCCAATATTACGCAAAATGGTTCTACAAATATAATAAATATGACATTTTCATGAAAGTTTTGTATCGGCAGTTACTCCCCAAAATTTAATATGAGGTACTGTCTTCTGACACATTAATATCACAAAATATATTTGATGGCAAAGAATCTATTGATTTACTCAATAGCATATATTTAGATTTTTGACAATTTTAAGATAATTTGTCAGCTCTCATACACTGAGAAATCTTTAATAGTTCAATATTAATAGTTTCTGAATAAAGTAAGTGGATTACTGTGAGAACAAACTAAATGTGTATCATCGGAAAATAATATGAAATAGTATGAATGACAATTATGTCAGACGATTTAAAGAATCATTTATAAAAATAAAAAATAAGAGTGGACCCAATATGCTACGTCGGGGGACGCCGCAATTAAAGATAAATTCCAGTTCTGGTAAAAAAAAAATAATAATAATTCTTACAGAATCAAACGAAACTTACACTGAATGTTCAAGATTACAAATAAATGACATGTGCCAAATAATTTTGGAAGAAAATGTATAATGGCTGAGTAATGAGCATAGAAAGACAAGGAAAGTAAGGCCTAGCCCCGACACCATGTGTGTTGTCCCATATATAGCTTTATGTGTACAGTGCTCGTTACTTTACCAAGACTCGGTCAAATTTATTATGATTTTGATGACTCCAGTACCTTGCAGTGCACACCAATACTTACATGCTACATGATCAACTGTTTCTGATCCTTTCCACACCTTTTCTTTCACAATGCAATCGCATTACCAGTACTAAAGTTTATCTTTAATATCATGACATTCTGAAATAACATTATTCAAGGAAACATACTGTTTTCTATTTGAAAGGTAGCTCCGGAACCACTCAAAGGCCTTCCGGTGCACGTACACCATAGTGGAAAAGTTTATGAAGAAAAATATTGTGGCTGATCGCGTTGGAGGCCTTCGAGAAGGCCAGGAATATAATAATAATATAGCTCACATTTATAATGCGCCTTATACTTTGTTTCTAGGCGCAGAACATATTATTACCCCGGTCATCGAATTCAGGCTTACCCGCAACACTATGTATGCACATTTTCCACTCACTGGGGAGTATTGCAGCCAGTCGCCATTTTACAAGCGCCACTTGCTAATCTAACCACATTAACTTTCGCATCCTACCCGGTACTCATTTAACACCTGGGTGGAGAGTGGCAAATTAAATATGTTCATATGTGTGAACATTTCTCAATAGCATGTGCCATATCATCAACAAAAGACAATATAGTATAAATAGTGCGATGTTTTATCTGACATATGGAAACGTTGTATCATCCGCTCAATCTGACTTGCGTGCATAGAACAAATAAGCATTTTTCCATGAAAAAGTTAAGTTTTCTAAAATGTGCGTTTCTTTCCAGCATTGGGGCGCCCGGAAGTCACTCGGGTAACATTTCATAAAGTATAATATAAAAAGACCATATGCAAATTTTCTGTACTTTTGTCGGAAAAAATACATTTATCCAGCACAATGTCGTCTCTTTTTGCGTTGGAGAAGAGCAAATAGCGAGTTTCAATCACACTTTGGCCGATCTCGCAATCTCTCACTCGTTTCACTGTGGTCAAGAGACTTTGGGGCAAGCGGTTAATGAAAATACTAATCGTTAGCTTTCTTCTGGTATCAAACTTATTTTGATTGATTGTATAATTTTGTCGGAATAAAGGAAACAAAAATGCTCGACCAACAACTCATCAGCGTCTGAATTGACCTTTTGACCTTGAATTCCCTGATGCAAGCGCACTAATGACGTGATCTTTGCTAAATCGGTGTCTTTTATCGTAAAATGCGACACTTTCACAATGTTTATACATCTTTTTTTAATTATTAGTAAGATATAACATATTTTTTCTGATATCACTGAAGTTTTGGGTTTCATTTAATGAGTAATTTTAAAATAAGAGCCATTTTATTGTTTTAATTTACTGGATCGTACCATTTAAGTTGCAGGGTAGAAAGATGCATTTTCCAACCGCGCCAAATTTAATTTACGTTCCGACATTATGTTAAATGGGTTCGTGTTGTTAAGAATCCACTGCTTTCTGCTCCAACAAACGTCCACATGCGGAGTCGTTTATCAACTAAATTATTCAAATTTATAGATGCTTCCTAGCTTCCCAGGTGTTTGTGTAGCTGTTGAAGCATTTCATTCACCCGCTATCATTCTTTGTACTCCAATTGCCAGAACGCAAATTTCATTTTGGTTTTATAGTTTCATCGGAGTCGTTTATCAACTATATGTATTCAAATTTATGAATGCTTCCTCCCCAGGTGTTTGTGGTGTATATGCATTTCATTCACCTGTTATTATTCTTTGTACTCCAATTGTAAGAATACAAAATGCATTTTGGTTATATAGTTTCATGCAATAAGTAAGTCAATAAAAGAGTATGTTCTGCACAATAAAAACAATGTGTGTCCCTATTGTACAATGTAATGTGTCCCCTCATTTTGTAATAGTTAATGTACCCATTCACATAATGGAACTACCTGCCCGATGAAGCCATTGGCCTGTGACCCCTGAGCACTCAACACCGTGTGGGAGTCAGTTCGTGCTCATATTCTTTTATGAGACAAATACAAGCAAACGTTTCCATATGAACCGTATATTAAAATTATATTTATTTATTTATTCAAGTTTTATTCAAAATAGAGGGTAGGAACATTCAGTTTTAAAAACTGCTTTCCAAGTCCGCCTTCTAGGACGACATAATAAATATGTGATATACAAAAATACATGGAATACATGAAAATATAGCATTTATAAAAACTAAACATTGACATATTTGACATAATATAGAGTACAAACATATATAACATAACAAAAAAAATTATACCGGTAGAGGGAAACAAGAACAGAGATTCTACTACAATTATAATAAATGCTTTGCCAATTGGCATCCGCGCTTAAATGTTTGAATTGATTTGGTTGATTTGACTGAGAAAGGAAGTTTGTTCAATAGGGTGCTTGCTTTATACGAGAATTATTATTTTTTTGAATTCGGTTTTGGAGTATGGGATGTCAAGGACAGAATTCAATGAATAGCGGGTACAATAGTTGAAGGTGCGATAATTGATAAGTGATTTTAAATAAGTTGGGGCCATGACATTTATTGTTTTAAAAACTAGCAAACAGAAGTGATAATTTAATCTTTGTTCGACCGATTGCTAATTTAAAGTCGTAAGAAGCGTACATTGTGGTGTGTCGTAATCCTCATTTAAAATCAATCTCGAAAATCTATTTTCTAACTTTTGCAGCCTCGACGCACTGTAAGTTATTACCATTTAATTTAATGGAAAGACGATTGTTCTCCAACATTCTTTTTGATCCAAAGGACATTACCATACTTTATTGAGGGTGTACATACATCTTATTTATATTAAACCATTTACATGTTAAATCAAAGTCATTTTGTAAATTTTCTTGAACTTCAGAAAAATTATTAAAAATGACAGTATCGTCAGCATAAAGTGACATCTTGGAATTATTATGAAATTTTAAATTATTAATATCATTAATATACAAACAAAAAACCAATGGGCCCAGAATTGACCCTTGTGGCACCCCGGATTTAACAGTTAAATACTCGCTACAATGATTATCTATACTAAAGTAACACAATGTTGTCTACCAATTAAGTAAGATTTAAACCATTCATACACCTTGGCATTCATGCCATAGAAAATTAGTTTATCAAGTATGATTATTTTATGTGGAATAACGTCAAACCCTTTCCTAAGATCGTAAAATATTGTTCCAGTAATCTGACCCGAATTCATATTATCAAGAAGGCAATCAGAATTTATGTGAGACATGTGGTTGTGGAATGAAGTGGTCTAAATCCTGACTGAATTTCTGATGATAAATTGTTTTGGTTAAGGTAAGAA